TCTGATGAAGTGAGCTGTAGCTCACGAAAGCTCATGCTCAAATAAATTGGTTAGTCTCTAAGGTGCCACAAGTCCTCCTTTTCTTTTTAGTAATGTCAATGGATATGTAAAGGTTCACACATGCTCCTTTCATATCTCTCTGCTGCAGAGGGGGAAAAAATAGCTTAATAACAAGCTATGTACGTGGATACTGTGATTGAGCTTTGAATTCAGATGAATCCTGTCTTGGTTTGGGATCTACCCTAGGGCTTGGGAGATGGGGAATGTATTCCCTGTTCAACCCCCAACTCTGTGACCCTGGGGCTCTGTGCCGCAGTTTCCCCATTTATAAAATGGGGATAGTAGAATTGCCCTACTTCCCAGGGGTGTTGAGAAGCTAAATGCATTAACGGCTGTGCGGTGCTCAGACACTACAGTGATGCGGGACAGATAAATATCCCAGACTGCAAAAGCCCCTTAGAACAGTAACTCTCTATAGTGTCAGGTTTCAGAGCGGTAGCCGTGTTAGTGTGTATCCGCAAAAACAACGAGGAGTCCTTGTCGCACCTTAGAGACTAACACATTTATTTGGGGATAAGCTTTTGTGAGCTAGAATCCACTTCATCAGATGCATGAAGTGAAAAATACAGGAACAGGTATAAATACATGAAAGGATGGAGGCTGCTTTACCAAGTGTGAGGTCAGTCTAACGAGATAAGTCAATTAACAGCAGGATACCAAGGGAGGAAAAATAACTTTTGAAATGGTAAGAGAGTGGCCCATTACAGACAGTTGACAAGAAGGTGTGAGTAAGAGTAGGGGGAAATGAGTATGGGGGAAATTAAGTTTAGGTTTTGTAATGACCCAACCACTTCCAGTCTTTATCCAGGCCTAATCTGATGGTATCCAGTTTGCAAATTAATTCCAGTTCTGCAGCTTCACGTTGGAGTCTGTTTCTGAAGTTTTTTTGTTGAAGAATTGCTACTTTCAGGTCTGTTATTGAGTGACCAGCAATGCCAGCGGTGCCCCTCTGCCATGTACATTGGCCAAACCGGACAGTCTCTACGCAAAAGAAAAATCTGACATCAGGAATCATAACATTCAAAACCATTCAAAAACCAGGAGGAGAACACTTCAATCTCTCTGGTCACTCAATAACAGGTGCTTTAAGGTAGTGCAGTTTGCTCTTCGACTCCCTTACAAATCCCAACCTCTGCACTCCTCTTACGATTACTTCTAGATCTTCTCCCTCCTGGGCTCTTCCTCTGATGTCACCTACCACCACCAGGCTCCATGGTCCAGGCTCCCCACTTCCTGGCTTCTTGCCCCAGTCTCTTAGCCCAGCCAGTCCCAGTTTACTCCCTGAACCCCAGATTCTCATCAGAGGTGTTTTCCCTCCTCACCGAACACTATCCCCATTCCCCACTGGCTCCCAGTCCCAGACTCTTTGTCCAGTCAGTCCCAGACCCCCACATCCCTATAGTGATAGGAGTCATGCAGAGTAGGAAACGGAGGGACAGAGACATGTAAATGACTTATCAAGGTCACACAGCAAGTCAGGCAGAGCTGAGAAGAGAAACCAGGTATCTTGGTCTCCATTCCATTGGGTCCTACACGCTCACCAGCTGTACCTGTGGTAACTGCGTGGAGATGATAAAAGTCCCATGACAAGGCTTTGATATGCTGAGATGTTGGGCATTTTTTCCTATTTCAGACAGAACAAATAGCTACATATGGGAAAACTTTTGCTTCTGATTTTGAGAGGCATAGAGAGAGTCAAAACCCCAGAAAGGCTCTTCCATCCCAAACACAAAATCTTTATTGTAAGTGAAGAAAGAAATGAGGCCCCTCTGTTTTTATGGGTTCTGCTGTGCTCTGAACAGCAGACAGCCTGTGGGTGCTGATTGAGGGGCATCTGCAGTTCTATGGGGAAGGGGAAGCACTGGGCTGGGATAGCAAAAGGGCTGTGGGTCAGGAGACAGAGACTTCGGTAGAGATGTGTGTGATGTGGGAGCCCAGGGCTGCAATGAGAGTGAGGCTGTGGGAGAGAAAAGGTGGATGAGGTCGTATCTTTTATTCCACCAACTTCTGTTGATGAGAGAGACAAGCTTTCAGGCCACAAGGACCTCTTGTTCAGCTCTCTGGAAGGGTGGTCGTGGGTCTGTAATGAGGGGCATCAGCAGAGCTGGGTTTGTGTGACGTCAGGATTTGAATAGAAGGGGGCTGCTGATCAGGACTGAGGAGCATCAGGAATTGGGGATGGTGGAGAATCCCTGTGGATTCAACAGAACTGTTTGGTTTGTGAGCCTGGGATTTGACTAGATGGAGCCTGAGGGGTTGAAGGGTAACAGCGGAGGGGAGGCTGGAGAAAGGTGTCCAGGGCTGGAATAGGAAGGGGCTGTGGTGATGGTTCATGACTGAGAGATATTAAAAGAGCTCTGTGTGGGGAAGCAAGTGCTTGTGTCAATGGAGCAGAAAGGCATCTTCAGCTGGGGCAAACTTTACCTGTTTCAAAGACAGTTTACTCTGTTTTTCCTTGAGAGAGCCGAGACCAGACTCTGCAGCCTAAATAGTTGCTGCAAGTTCATCCCAGGTGATATTCTTATGCTAATTAATTGTGTCCCAAGGGAAAGCAAAGCCTTTAAATAAGCAGTGAAGAAATTGTTATGTTTATAATGCAAGAAGAAACATGAAAGGTACAGAAGGAAGGGTGGGGGAAGAGGTCTGGAAGTAGCGAATCAGAATTCCTAAATTTAAGTTGTGTGCTTGACTCGAGTCCATAGAAAGAATATTTAAAAAGGTAGATGTTACTATTCCACAAATGCTGGCTGTATCGACATAGAACAGGGAAGTTCAGACTAGAGCTCTGTATATCTATCTTCTTCTGTTTGTACATCTCACATCCTCAGCTCTATCTCTCTGTCTCCAACCCAGCTTGTCTGCCTTTCTATGCTCATGAAGAAAGTGTTTTGTATTTTCTGCAGAAGCTAATAAGTACTACTGTTACTCATCATCAGTTATCAATCAACTTAATATACAAAGTAAGGATCTAACTAAACTTCATATTGTTCTTTGTTTGAAGGTAGGTACCTTGTCCGCCTCCGGTCAACTTCAAATTGAGAATTCAAATGTTGGCTCCAGTTCAGCGCACTGATATTTTGAATGAAATCAGCTGGAAAATGGAATTTCTCAGACCTTCTTAAAGAGGAAAAACTGGTGTAATCTCTACATGGATTCACTGTGTGAGTATATCTGAACCGCTACGATTGGTTTTCAGATCTTATGATGGTGTCGCCTGCTTTTGAAAACAAAGGGGATCTATCTAGTGATTCCAATGGGAGTCTGCCCACTAATATCTACAGACCTGACATCAGATGTGTCATGAGCTATCCAAACATGAACAATTTCATATTGTGCTTTGCTGGCCTGATTTACTAATGTATCGGTCCAGCTTTCCACTAGTGTGAGCACATTAAAATAGAGGTTGGCATTTATTTTTATCTTTTGGATAACAGTTAATTCACACACAAAAAATGTCAGACAAGTTTTTGTGAATTTGGGTCAAATATCAGAAGTCATTTGGGACAAAAAAAATTAAAAAATCAAAATGGTTCATTCTGATATTTCCAAAATAAGATGTTTTGACATTTTAATTTGAAATGATGTTTCCTTTTGAAATTAAGCAAGCTTTGTTTTCAGCAAATTAAAAAGTGTAAAAAGCACCCAAAAAGTGTTACAAAATGAAATCAAAAGAAGATGACAAAGAAAAATCATTTGGGGTCAAGGAAATTGTTCAACTTGAAAAGATTACTTTTTTTGTGGGAGAAACTCTCCTTGCTCCCCGAATAACAAAAACAATTTTGGTTCACCCAAAACTTTATTTAACTAAGACTTTTTTGTCTCAGCCAACGAAGTAATAAAATTCAAAATTTGTGGAGGTCTACATTGAAATCAAATTCATATGAATCTGAAAATGGAGCAACTCACTGGTGAATCAGACTTTCCATTTGATTATGTATTTTCTGCTGTTCTATTTCAAGAAGCAGTTTATTTGTAAAGTCCATTTTCTCAAAATGTTAGATAATACGCTTCACCACCTCAGTAAGAAAACATACATGTAATATATACATCTATGTATACATATTTGAGAGAGAGAGAGAGAGAACCTGCTACTTAAGAGAATTTAAGAAAGAAACTTAAGAGAAACCTGAACCTGCAAATGTTAGTCAGGTGATTTTCATGTATACGCTGCTCAGTTACTTCTGAGCACCCACACATCTTTCCTGGCCTTGTTGTTGAGTGTTCGTACGTGGGATGAAACTTCTGAACTGAATTTTTTGTTTAAAAAACTTTTTCATAGGATGTGGGAGTTTGAGGAAATTCCATTTTCAAAAGAATTAAGAGTTAAGAAAGCTGGCAGTGATTAAAAAGTCAAGAGCTCAATTCCTAGCTGAGAGACGGATCTGGTAAATCCTTCATTTATTTGTGTGCATGTGAGTAACTAAAAATGTGTTTGTGTGTGGTTGACATTCACGGATTAAAGACGTCATGAGCTGAAATTGCAGCAAACGAGATTTCGGTTGGACAGGAGGAAACACTTCCCAATGTTAAGGGTAGTTAAGCATTAGAACAAATGACCTAACAAGGCGGTGGAATCTCTGTCTTTGCAGGTTTCTATGAACAGGTTACACAAGCACCTGTCATTGATGATCTGCGTAGCACTTAGTCCCACAGCAGTGCAGGGGACTGGACTAGCTGACCTACTGAGGTCCCTGCCCCGCCTATATTTCTATGATTCTATACGTTTGTGAAGGTTTTTTCCCTAGATCTTCAATCATTTTTGAGATTTAAAGCTGAGACTTACAAAGCCACATTTCAGATCCAGACAATCAGTTCCCATTAATTTTAATTTTATTTATAAAATGAATTTCCCCCTAGACATGTTATTTCAACTACATGAAATGTTTTTCTCTAGGTCCCTCACCTTTCATATCCATCCTCCCACAGGACCTACACTGTACATGAATCCTCTCAATCAAACTGTGGGGTCAGCGTTCATTCTGCTGGCTTTTCCGGTCACCTCAGAACTGCAGATATTCCTCTTTGTGGTCCTGCTGCTGCTTTACTCGCTCACCCTCGTGGGGAACGTGCTCATCATTTCCGTCATATGGTTCCATCATCGCCTGCACACTGCCATGTATTTCTTCCTCAGCAACTTATCCTTCCTGGACATCTTGTTCACCTCGGTCATTTCCCCTACAATGCTGGTCAGCCTCCTTTCAGATAGGAAGACCATCTCCATCACTGCTTGTCTGGCCCAAACCTTCTTCTTCATCTTCCTGTGCACAGTGGAGTTTGTCCTACTATAGATATAGTATACTATAGATATACCTCTATCATATCCCCCCCTTAGTCTCCTCTTTTCCAAGCTGAAGAGGCTAGGACTTTTCAGCTTGGAAAAGAGGAGACTAAGGGGGGATATGATAGAGGTCTATAAAATCATGAGTGGTGTGAGAAAGTGAATAAGGAAAAGTTATTTACTTGTTCCCATAATATAAGAACTAGGGGCCACCAAATGAAATTAATGGGGAGCAGGTTTAAAACAAATAAAAGGAAGTTCTTCTTCACTCAGCGCACAGTCAACCTGGGGAACTCCTTGCCTGAGGAGGTTGTGAAGGCTAGGCCTATAACAGGGTTTAAAAGGGATAAATTCATGGAGGTTAAGTCCATTAATGACTATTAGCCAGGATGGGTAAGGAATGGTGTCCCTAGCCTGTGTTTGTCAGAGGGTGGAGATGGATGGCAGGAGAGAAATCATTTGATACCTCTTAGGTTCACTCCCTCTGGGGCACCTGGCATTGGCCACATTGGCGGACAGGATACCGGGCTCGATGGACCTTTGGTCTGACCCAGTATAGCCGTTCTTATGTGCTTACTGAAGGTGATGTCCTTCAAAAGATATGTAGCCATCTTCAAGCCCTTATGCTACACAGTCATTATGAATGGCAGGGTGTGCTCCAGGCTTCTCCTTAGCTGTTGGATGGTAGCTTCTCTATCCATGCTTGGTCCAACCATAGTGTACACCAGGCTACCTTTCTGCAGCCAAGAACTAGACCATTTATTTGGTCTTATCAACCCTCTGCGAAAAGCTTCCTGTGTCGACACCAGCTACCTCAAAATGCTAGACTTCATTCTCTCCTCCATTGTATCATGGAGCTCCTTAACGTTGACCATAGAGTCCTACACCCACATCATAGCCACTCTCCTTAGGATCCCCTCCGTCCAAGGGCCCAAAAAAGCCTTTTCCACTTGCGTCTCTCACCTCACCGTAGTAACCCTTGCCTACGAGAGTTCCATTTTTCTGCATGTCCGACCGCAGCACAACCAATCCTTGGCTTCTGAAAAAGGAGCTTCTCTGCTCACTGAGGTGGTGATACCCCTGTTGAACCCTTTCATCTACAGCCTCAGGAATGATAGAGTTAAGGAGGTCTTGAGAGATGCTATAGTGAGGCTTATGGGTTGCTCAAAGAAGGTCAGTCCTTGAAACTATTCATTTTAAAAAGAGATAAAATGGTATATAAAGTCCAGGTGGGTCTGAATTAAATTGCCTTGTTTTCAAGCATGACCCAGGCCCTTGCAGGAAAAGCTACAAAGGAATTTAGGGGCTAGATAACATGAGATTTAGACACCTAAGTCCAATATTTAGGCCCCAAAGAGCTGCTCAAAACCTCTACTTCACTGTCACCTAAACCTGGACTCACCTGAATTCCCTGGGTGCCTAAATTCCTGCTGATGAAGTCTCCATGGTGTTTAAGTTTCTGTCCATGGGCATGTGCAAAACTGCCTACATTCTGTTGTAGCTACACTGCTCACTGCCTAAACCCCAGTGAGATTCTCAGGGCGTGTCTACATTACCTGCTGGATCGAGGGGCAGCGATCGATCCAGCGGGGGTCGATTTCTCGTGTCTAGTCTAGACAGGATAAATTGACCACCGTGCACTCTCCCGTTGACTCCGATACTCCACCAGGGCGAGAGGCACAGGCGGAATCGATGGGAGAGCGTCAGCCATCGACTTACCGCAGTGCAGACACTGTGGTGAGTAGATCTAAGTACATCGACTTCAGCTATGTTATTCACATAATATAGATGGATCCCCCCCTGAGTGTAGACCAGACCTCAAACTAGTTGCCTTTCATAATTCCTCTTCGTGCCTTCCTACATCTTTAGGTGCCTAAATACCATTGAAAATCTGGCCCTAAGTCTCCTTTTGCCTCAGTTCCCCATCTGTACAAAGGGAAGAGTCCTTCCTTACTTCATAGTGATGTTATGACCATAAATACATTACACATTGAGAGGGGCTGAGATTCTGTGGTAGTGGGGGGTCAGATAAGTACCTTGGATAGGTTCTCAGCTAGGGACCACCCTATCACCTAGTCTGAACTCCTGCATTTCTAGACTTGGCAGAATTGGAATTTTTTAATCTTTTTATAATTTCGATGGTTCATATCAATGTTCTTATTGTCACTTTTTAAAACTTTGACTTTTAAAATTTTCACAGTTGGGGGAAATAATAGTGGGGGGGGGGTCAGAGAATATTTTTTTTAAGGATTGTAGACTTTAAGATTCAAAAACTTGAAGCTTGTTAAGCGTTAAAGCACAAATTGTCCACATCTTGTGTCAAAATGTACAAAGCAAATATCTTGACATCAAAATCTGTTCTCAAACAACATTTTTCTTACTGTGCTTAACTGTAAATGTGGATTATTAGTGATGGAATTTTTTTTTTCATTTATATAGTGAAATTCACATTCATTTACATTTATCCATAAAACTTAAAGCTCTCCAAATCTATGTATATTACAGGCCACCACAACCACCCAGTGCCCATGCACTAAACTCAGCACCCAGAACTAGACCAAAGTAGTACAGATCAGAGGAGGCAGGACTGTTACTTGTCACAGGAAGAGAAAAGGAGAGGCTGAGGTGCACCAATGCTTCTCAAATGCCTGGGGACTGATTAAATGAGACTTACCTCAGTGATCTTGGCAAGTGATCCATACCCCTTGTTGCAAAGGAAGGAGAAAACCCCCACGATCGCTGCCAATCTAATTGGGGTGAACATTCCTTCCCGATGCTGCATACGACTCCACTGTGCCCATAAAGATAGAAAAAAGCAGGGTCATGGCTGTGAGACCTGCGTGGAAATAGGTGAATCCTCCCGCCTGGCATCACGTTCCTACCTCCCTTGGAAATCTCACCATTAGCCTCCTTTGAAAAGGACCCTTATTCACTCGGTGTCTCGGTTCCGCATCTTACATGCTGGGATAAGGATACTTTCCTACCTCAGGGAGATGCTGTTAGGACCAGCTCATGGGTTTGGCGCTCTGCTACATTGTGATGCAGGCTATAGGGACAGTATTGCAACACTTGGGCAGGTCCTGCGTTACCTCTGTTTCAGAACGTTTCATCTTGTTATTTTTGCATTTGCAGTTGGTGTGTAAACATCTGGCACTGGGGTTCCTTTCTCTCCTGTCCGGTTGTAGAGCACATTATGTACGTTGTCAGCACCTTTGTGCTGTACCCGTGGTGTGAGTGCACTTGAAGAAATCACTTGCTTCTCCTGGGAGGCAGGTAATTTCTCACGGGGGTGGCTAAGCTCTGTAGAGTCTATGAACAATCCAGCAGTCGCTTTGCAGGTGGTGTGTGGTTTGACCACTGCTTTCCATGATGACCAGATTTGTTTCGTGGTTACCTGGGAAATCAGTCTCCCTCCCGCTTCTCATCCTTAATAAATAAATGATTGTATCATGCTGATCAAAATTGTTTGTGTTACCATCTGCTTCCCCTGTCTGTGAGGACTGGAAGGGACCTCGATAGGCCATCTAGTCCAGTCCCCTGCACTGAAGCAGGACTATATATTATTTAGACACGCCCTGACAAGCGTTTGCCTAATATGTTATTGAAAACCTCCAGTGCCAGAGAATCCACAAGCTCCCAAGGTAACTTGTTCCATTGCTTAACTACCCTGACAGTGAGGAAGATTTTCCTAATGTCCAACCGAAACCTGTCTCTTTAACATTTAACCACACTACTTCATTTCCTGTCCTCAGTGCTTAAAGAGAAGAATTTAGCACCTTCCTCTTTATAACCTTTCACATACTTGAAGACTGTTATCATGTTCCCTCTCAGACTACCCTTCTCTGCACTAAACAAACCCAACTTTTAAAATCTTTCCTCATAGGTCAGGCTTTATAGACTTTTAATGGAATTATAGAACTGGAAGGGACCTCGAGAGGTCATCTAGTCCAGTCCCCTGCACTCAAGGCAGGACTATGTATTATCTAGACCATTCCTGACAGTTTTTTGTCTAACCTGCTTTTAAAAATCTCCAATGATGGAGATTCCACAACCTCCCTTGGCAATTTATTCCAGTGCTTAACCACCCTGACAGTTAGGAATTTTTTCCTAATGTCCAACCTAAACCACCCTTGCTGCATTTTAAGCCCATTGTTTTTTGTCCTATCCTTAGAGGTTAAGAACAATTCTTCTCCCTACTCCTTGTATCAACCTTTTATGTACTTGAAAACTGTTATCATGTCCCCTCTCAGTCTTCTCTTTTCCAGACTAAACAAACCCAGTTTTTTCAATCTTCCCTCATAGGTCATGTTTTCTAGACCTTTAATCATTTGTGTCACTCTTCTCTGGATTCTCTCCAATTTGTCCACATCCTTCCTGAAATGTAGCACCCAGAACTGGACACAATGCTCCAGCTGAGGCCTAATCAGCACAGAGTAAAGGGGAAAAATTACTTCTCGTGTCTTGCTTACAACACTCCTGCTAATACATCCGAGAAGGATGTTTGCTTTTTTTGCAACAGTGTTACACTGTTAACTCATATTTAGCTTGTGGTCCACTATGACCCCCAGATCCCTTTCCGCAGTACTCCTTCCTAGGCAGTCATTTCCTATTTTGTATGTGTGCAAATGATTGTTCCTTCCTAAGTGGAGTACTTTGCATTTGTCTTTATTGAATTTCATCCTATTTACTTCAGACCATTTCTCCAGTTTGTCCAGATCATTTTGAATTTTAATCCCATCCTCCAAAGCACTTGCAACCCCTCCAGCTTGGTATCGTTCACAAATTTTACAAGGGTATTCTCTATGCCATTATCTAAATCGTTGATGAAGATATTGACCAGAACCAGACCCTGAACTGATCCCTGCAGGACCCCACCTGTTATGCCCTTCCAGCATGACTGTGGACCACTGATAATTGCTCTCTGGGAACGGTTTTCCAACCAGTTTTGCACCCACCTTCTAGTAGCTCCATCTAGGTTGCATCCCCCTAACCTTTCTGTTGCTGTTGTTGCTGTCTTCTGGACTTTCTCCAGTTTGTTCACATCTTTCCCAAAGTGCAGTGCCCAGAACTGGCCATGCTGCGCCACGGGGCCTCTGATTTGAGGACCCACTGATTGGTCCAACTACGCCATTTAAGCCAGGAGGAGGAAGAGAAAGTTTGTCCAAGCAATGAGGTGGTTTCCTGATGTGGTTGCATTGGACCTTGCTCGTGCCTGCACCCAGCCCTGCTCCTGATTCCTGCTCCTCCCTTACCCCCACATTCCTTCCTGTTCCCAGCCTGCTTCTGCTCAGTGCTTGATCCCTGTCTCTCCTCCTGGCCGTACGCCTCGCCTCCATTCCTCAGTGACCAGACCTGGCCTCTGACTTCCGACCCTCTCTCCAGCTTCACCCTTGGCTCTGGCATTGGGCAGCTGACCTCAGCTCTGACCCTCATTTCCATTCCTGATTCTGGATCTATCTTGACCCCTGGCTCAGGTAATTGGCAGTTAACCCTGGTACTGACCCTTGGCTTCATTCCTCACCTTGGATGCCAGCTCTGCACCCTACACCTGACTCCTGTGTTGACTATGAGGCCAGACTGCCTACATGCCGGTCCATAACACCTGACTTTTTTGGAATTTAATGGAACTTAAGTGCTTAAGATGCTTAGATGCCTTTCATAATCCCACTTGGAGCCTTCGTACATCTTTAGGTGCCTAAATATCTTTAACAATCTGGCACTCAGCTCCCTTGTGCCCCAGCTCCCTGTTTGTAAAATGGGTAGGGGGCATTGTGAGGATAAGTACATTAGCCGTGGCGAGGTGGTCAGATACTGTAGTGCTGGTGGGGGGAGAGAGAAACCCTATGGACAGACCTTCCACTAGTGTATACTGATTAACACCTGCAGGAGTTCTGTGCTGTAAATCCCCAGCAAGCGGAGCCCCAGGGAATTACTCAGTGCTTCTACTGAGGCGTCCCAGGGCAAAGAGGCACTGAAAAGGGGATGCCACGCTACTGAGAGTCACTTAGAACTGAGGACAGAGACAGCCACTTAAATTCCAGATTAGGGAGAGCAATTCTGAGACCGAGACTACAAGTAAACAGTCAGCATTGACATAGTCCCTGGTTGCAAAAACCCTGGCCTTGCGATCTCTCTCTCTCTTTGATTTAAAGGCAGAAAGAGTCACTGGACATTTCAACACTTCA